CAGATTGAGTGACTTTTGGTCCTCACCAGCAGGTCGGCCATGCTTATGAAAGCATTTGTCTTCAGTGTGACCTCTTCGTTTGCAGAAGGTGCAGTCCAAGGATTTTTTTGTGGATGTCATGGCTCTTGTAAGCATGCCAGGAGGCCAGCCATGTTTATGGTAGCACACATCCTTAGTGTGACCATTCTACTTACAGAAGGTGCAGTGAGGGCGCCTGCCAGGTGGACCAGTACGTCTGCCCTGAGTAGCTAGAGAAAAAGAATCAGCAACCAACACTTTGCCCTACTGAATGCCATCCTGCTGTCTTTCGTGTTGGAGGAGTCTTTGAAATACTTGATCAATTGATGGTAAGGAGTCACCAAAGAGCACTTGAGAGCGAACAGTGTTGTAGTTATCATTGAGACCATGCAGAAACTAAATAACATAGTTGGTGTCTCGATACCTTAGAACTAGTTTCAAAGCAACACATGTCTGAGTACTGGTTTCAGTACAGGTGCATGAATGGTAATGAATTGACCATCTAATTCATCATGAATGGTAAAGAGCACTTGATAACCATCTAATTCATCATGAATGTTAATGAATTGACCATAATACTCATTTAGGGTTTGAGTGCCTTGTTTCAGACTAGATAGGGCCTCAATTGGTTCAGCTACACGAATGACATCACCTTGACAATATCGAGCTTTCAAGCTTAGCCAGGCTTCATATGCAGGTTTGAGAGACAAGGTTTTTTCGAATACCTGGTTCAACAGTATGCTATATCCAGCTAAGAACCATGATGTTGTTGCGACTCCAAGACCAGTAGAGAGCATCAGTGGCTGCTGGAGGTGCAATGGTGCCTTCTGTGAAGTCGATCTTTTTCGATCCAAGGGCATTGAACATTGCTTTGCTCCAGTCATTGTAGTTTGTGGTGGTGGCCTGTTGAGAAGCAGTAGTTGCGGCCATTTTTGGTCAATGACGGCTAGGGTTGAGGCTCTGATACCATAACATCATAGATGCAATGAAAACCAAAAATCGTCTTACTTTGTTTCTCAGCGATTTGGAGTATTTGTACTCAGTTTGCAGTAGCTACAGTCCAAGGTTTGCAAGGTAAAGAGAGGTAAGAAGTATATAGTAAAAGATAAGGAAGAAGACATTCAAACACAGAGTTAATGTGCTAATCTTGGCGCCAACTTCCTTCCACGTATGAAGTCGCTCCAACTGATACTCTGCGTTGTGTCTTGTGACTGAGATGGCTCTGGATCAAAACTTGGAGATAGCGAAGAAAGACGGATTTCTTCAGCTGTTAGCAGATGCTGGGAAGTTTACTGAGCTACATACTGTTTCGAGCAGCTATGAGCTATCCACTAGGGACGGTGAACCAGAAACCGGAAATAATTATATGAGCAAGAGTTATCGCGAAAGATGGAATGGAAGTCAAGAAATACTATCCCGGCTAGTTGGAAGGTGATGGCAGAAGCTCCTATCGCTCAGCCGCAAGCGTTTCTGCCGATGAAGCAACAACTGTCCGTGGTGATGATGAAGAATGGGAGAGGAGGATTCTGACCGGTGATGGCGTCGCTGGATCAGATCCAGAGCAATGTGGAAGAGAGCATCAAAGGAGCACAGGAGGCTTGCTCAGAGGATCTGGCTAGCGGGGAGTGCGTGGCGGTGTAGGATTAGGTGGAGAAGCTAATCTCCGCTGGTAGCCACACCCTGGACAAGCAGAAGGTATCCGACCTGCTCGGACCTACTACAAGGACTACGCCAAGAATTGACTTGGCAATTACAGAAAATTAATTTTAATATTTTTATAGTTATGAAATGAGGTGTAAATTTTAAAATTTATATATTATTTATTTATTAATTGTCACATCATTTATTTAACGGCCAACTTTCAAAATTGACTGTCACATATTCACATTAGCTAAAGTTAACGAAAACTGACAGAGAGTGACCAAACTTGAATTGTTGAACTAATTTGAGTGACTGCAGATGCAATGAATAAATTTAGTGACAAAAATGAACATTTTAAGTAATTCTAGTGAACAAACTTGCAATTTACCCCATTACTAAACATATCACATGATAGAAAACAGAAAGATTCAAAACGTGGCCTAAGTGTTAACATTGGATGCATTTTTATTTTAAACAATCTTCATAAATTTTATGCAGCGTTTCCTTTCAACGCTACACAGATTGAGTGCTCCAAAAACTATTTCATAGGTTTCTAGTCCACCATTAATATATTGTACACTTTGGTGAACTTTTCCCGAATTCAAATTTCCTCTTCTCTCCTTAATTTGCGGTGAGGGTAGTTAAGTAAGTTTTCAGTTTCTTTTTTGCGGGACATCAGACTCAAGGAAGAGAAGAAATGCATCACGGTGTTTCCTTTTCCCCCTTTTCGGAATTAGTTTTCTTTCTCCTTCCCGCATCCATGACGAACACGATCGGAGGATTCCGTTTAGCCTAAAGACAAGAGCTGGTGGCCAGGTATTCTTCCCATAGCGTTTTCTCTACCTCTTTAGTTCACCCCAGTATAACCTTCAATTTCCCATCGTGTTTATGATTTGTTGGAAAAAAAATTCCTTCAAATCCACTTCGTGATTTTTGCTTAATTGACCTGGTGGGTTGCTGAGTTACGCTTTGTCTACGAACTTTATAGTTGCTGGGGAGATATTATGACGAAAATTTTCATTTGCCCATGGCTCTTCGTACCGACGAAACGATTGATTCCCAAATTTTGGGTTTTTTCAGTTGCAGTTTGTGAATGCTGCAAAGTTTGCGTGTTGGTAGGTTAGTTCGATTTGCCCATGGCTGTAAGACTCGACAATAAAGATTGATTCACAATTATCAGAATTTTTTCACTTCCAGTTCCAATGACTAGGATCTATCTTATGGCAGGCCACTTCAAGATTTTTGTGGAATTTGTTTGATGGTTAGGTTATCCTTTGATTCTCTATTTTGTTTTTCGTGTTGGTGATATGAGAAACTCAGAAGCTAATCTTGAAGGAGATTACAACTTCACCAATAACATGATTGAGTGTAAAATTAAGCTGCCAAGACAATGCAGTTCTATGGTACAAAACTAAGAACTTCTATTGCATATCCTAACTTAGAATCTCATGTGTGCCTTTGATTCAATGTTCATGGGTAAAAAGTAGGATTTGTTCTTAATGAAAAGGATTTAGTAGTTACAGTAATGCATGCATCTAATTTCTTGCTTGGGAATGGGTTAGATATGGTTCCGCTGCTTTTCATTGGTCATGGGTAGAACTTAGACTTTTTTCTTATGAGAAGGTTTTAGGTATTACTGTAATATATTCATTTAATTGTCTACTTGGCAATGAATGATGCTCCACAGTTATGCTGTTTGTCAGTCTCTTTTCATTGATCAACAAAACAATCACGTCACAGTTCTACTTCTTTTTATCACCATTAAGGCAATAGGATAGGATTCAGAGCAAAGGGCTAAACCCTTTTGATGTTGCGGTTGCTTGAACTTGGCTGTGTGTCTTCTGGGAGTGGTGGATTTAAGCTCTTCCAGTATGAATCAGCGCATAGCAAGAAATCGCTTGCTATATGATCGTGAGGGGTGACAAGGCATGCCTCTGCTAGATTGCAGTATGAATGTGAAGGAGCGAGCTTTTGATGGGGAACTTGGGCTACACTGGCTGCTTTGGTTTCAGTATCCAGGATCATATTGATCTTGGCATCAAGTGGGTATCAATCTTCTAATCTTATTTTTTCTGTTTTTTCCTTCTATTGTCTTAGATGTATAGTTAGTTATTGTATCCCTATACCTTAATTAGAATGTCTTATATAGTTTATTTCTTATTGAATACAACAATTTTTACTTAGGCCATTTGGGTAGAGAGGATCATCGGTTCTGCAAATTCCTTTTACTTTATCAAGTTGATGTAAATTTTGTGTAACTCACAATTCCCTGTATTGATAGAGCACTACAGTGTAACTGATAAGATTGGTTTTGGAGAAACCTAGAGTTCGTATGGAAGTTGGGATTACATATGAGATTTCATATGATGTATGTAGGCAATACATGCAATGTGTAGAATTCGTCATTTTTTGCTTAAAATGAAACACAATTTTTTTTTTCTTTGGTAATTGTTGTTATCAATTTTATAGCTCAAAGCTTGATCAAACCGACCTAGCTTTCCTCGAGAATACCTGCTAACTGCTAAGAATAGCAGAACTCATGGTACACAGCCCTACATACATATGTCTGTTGAACTATCTTCTGCAATCTATTCTAAAGCAATAGACAACTAAGCAGCTGTACAAGGAAAACGAGACTGCGAGAGCACTTGGGCAAACTCACATTTACCCACACATGAAACAAAATTTGAATGTGTGCGGTTGGTATGTCATTTCATATGTTACTTATTATGGAATGTTCATTATTTGTGGACTTATTGTAGCAAACGTTTCAGGTTGCTTTTTATCTACTTTGTATTTTCAGTATTTGTATGTCCCTTATTGTCCTTTTTGCATTTTAGTCGTGTTTAAGATATTTTCAATTTATCGGATGTTCCCGAAGGGACGATATTTTCAATTTATGAGGATCGTTCTAACTATACAAAATTCTTGATTGATAATAAGGTAAATAATTTTTCGGTGAACCTCATATATCTATTGAATAGGATTAATCATGTCACATTTCCTCGCACAAAGGAAGCTTTCGACGCTACTCTTTTATTTTTCATCATGTCAATATTCCTCTCTTCCACCTATAACATGCTTTGATAAGCAACACACATTTTTATTGGAAATCCAATGTTGAGTTTGAGTTGTGTTGATTGTGACTCTTGCTAGGCTTTGATCCATGGTTTATCATACTTTACAGGTCCGTCGAGGAAATGAGCTCATGATTTTTATATTTGATCCTTCGTGATGGAGAGTTAAATCATTTACTCAGCAGTAGCACAATGCCACAAGCAAGTGATCCAGTTTTTATAGGCATTATAAAGCTTTTCAATTTATGAATGGGACGAAATTTCTAAAATTGATCTAGGGAAGAGAAAGAGTGAGATTTTATTGATTAATATCGCATCAGTCCAGCAATATCCTTTCTACACATGCGTTCACCTGAAAACCGAAACAACCAATCCAAGCCGCCGGCTTTGTGGACTCAAACAATAGAAGTACCCTCCTAATGTTCTACCTTGATTTCAACCATCAAACTTTGGTATTTTTGACTTCAATATGAACACAAAACGGGGAGACAAAAAACATTGGCCGGTCTTCTTGTTTAACAGCATTTGTTCTCCAGGCATGAATGATACCCTTCCCGCAGCTGAAGAACCAGTGACTTGAGTCCGAATGAACACTAACGTTGAAATGAGAGAGAGTAAGATCCAGTGTTTGGATCCTTCACAGCTTTGAAGTTGTCAACGCTCATCCCAAATCGACCGAGCACAGAGTTCCCCATCTCTTTCAGCTTCTCTGCTCATAATAAGATTTACAGAAAGCCAGCCAAGTATTACAACCTCATCATGCATTGTAGTCAATCAAACAAGGTAGTAGAGATCACAAAGAGTCTTTCTGCAAAGCAAGACAAACAACTATATATATATATATATAAATTTGTCAGGAAATTTTTTTCCTCCGTCCATCCAGCTTACCAATCATCTCTTCCTTCAATTTCTCACGCTTTTCTGCGGCCAATGGTTCCAGCCGAATCATAGATTTACGAGCAAAGTCATTCGACGGATCTAACTCCAAAATCTTTTTCATATCTGCAGCAGGCACATACATAAAGAGAGGGATTGAGAACACTTAAATTACTTTATTACATATAAAGTATTGTGGATTTAAAGTCAAGATATTGGGTAACCAGAAGAACAAACCAGAAATAGCTTCCTCAAAGTGTGTAAGCTTTTCATGGGCCTCTCCTCTTCTCATAAAAGCTTTAATATATGAAGGGTTTATTTCTAATGCTTTTGTGCATTCCTTGATTGTTTCCTCATATTTCCCCTGCATCATCATGTTCACAAAACTTACACTAATTGTCTGGCAATGCATATAACCTCCTCAATCTTTCCAATGACACAAAAGACAATAATACTGAGAGGCCTGGAACGAGTACATGAAAAAACAAGGCACACAGAAGAATTTTCACGCATAAAAAAGATACAAAACTACAGCAAATAATGCCAAGATAATGTTTCAGAATTCGACTACTTGTATAGCTTCACAACCAAGCCTGCTTTCTAAAGCAGAAGAATGTCCTAATCCTATGTGCATAATACAGAGGAACAATGCAGAGAGAAAATGTAACTGAATTCAGCCCAACTTTTGTAACAACCAACTCTGCTTTATAAAGCAGACGACAATATTGTAGTAATAGATGAAAGAGCAACTTCAAAAAGTGAGCAAAAATACCAAATATAAGCATGATGATCATTGTTGTCTCCTTCATTAAGGTCCATTTGCCACATCACTGTTTCTAAGTATGCTTTAACAACAGACAAGAGAACATAAACTTCACTTCAAACTTATTACCATCACAGTATCACACTAATCTAGACAAAGCCAAATCTATGCAGGCATGCAATGACACGTTAATGAGAAGGAATGTCATGAATTTCAATCATTCTAAAAGCCGATTGAAGTATGGATTTCAAAGAATCACTAACCAACACAGAGAAGTGAATGCCTATAAGAAAATAACAAATAATAGATTGTCATTGACAAAGAGTTGATTTATAAAAAATGGCATTCCACGTGTACCCCCGGAACATGGATGCCATTTAGAAAATGTAAGCAACTTGCAACTAGAAATGGAGATGGAGATGAAAACAGGGTGTGAAAAGCCAAGCGAACACCAATTCCCAATGGACTAGATGAATAATTACCAGCTTCAAAAAGCACACAGAGCGGTTTGTATGGCATATGGACCTGAGCTCCGAAGAAGAGGGCAATTCAGGGGCAACTTGTAGGGCAACATCATACTGCGCTAGTGCCTCCTCATACTTCTTATCCACAAATAGTCTATTGCCTTCCAATTTAGCATCATTGGCTTGCACTAACGCTTTCTGCTTCATCGAGAAATGACAGTCTATAAGTATTCACACAAGACGTATAAATGGAGAAGCTTTCTTCTTCAAGCAAACATATCTGCCAATCAGCTTCCCTCTACAAATGCCATCAAACTCCCAAATAGTAATCCTATGCTAAGATAACCTCGTCAATCTAAATATCAGAACCCCAAAATAAAATTGCAATCCTAATGTCAGGCAATCAAAACGAGAGGGTCAAACTGAATTTGGGGGGAGTAAGAGAACCTGCTTTGCTTCTTCATCAGTTGCAGCATCTTCCTGATGCTGCTTCATGTCCTGATTTGCTTCATCATTGTCGCTCACATCACGTTCACTCGCAGTTTCAAAGCCATCTGAGTCATTCTCTGCGCCTCCAGATGGTGTTGATGCTGTGGCAGTGGCTGAATCTGTGGTGGTCTCTGCAGGCACTGCTTTGGGCTTCCCTGAAGCGACCTTCTCAGCCGCTGTTTCTTCTTTTTTGTCTTCCTGAGGCACTTCTTCAATCAAGGCCATACCTTCTGCAGTGAACAACCAATTATTAGAATCACAAAAACGTATCTCTCCCCCAACTGAAAGTTCTCATACCTCCAAAGTTCATTGAAACAATAACCAAATTGTAGAAACAAAATCAGGCGTACCACTGATAAGCTCAAACTAAAACAAACAATAACATCCTACTTTCCTACTAGCTTTCTGCAGCAAAGCTATGGAACATCAAGTCAACAAACAATAACTATCCATCCTAAGAGATGTACACTAGTAGTTTAAAAGAGAAGCGAGCTCTTTAACCTCCAAATCGATCAAAGAATCTCATCTCAATAAAGTCGCCACAAACTTCTGTGCAAGTTGAGCAACTTGCTAAATTCAAACACAAGGGTTTTGGTTGCGGCAATTCCGGCATCCAGCGATTTCAATTCAAGCATCAATTCAGAAACAGTAAACGAACAGATTGGCTCGCAATTACCAGTGTGACTCGAGATCAATAAGAATAACGGGTAGCTTCGCAATGACGGGGAAGAACAATAGATATGGTTCTCTAGCTAGGTCTTTCTTACGGCCTCGCGAAGAAATGAAAACTCCACTCCCCAATAAATTTCTCTTCCTCCCTCGCAGAGTCCGACTCGTCCGTAGCTTCGTCTCCAAGGTTATTACTGCAAGTACCGCGTCAGCCACCTCGGCCAAATCCCTAGATTTGGCGGAAAAAGTGGAAAAAAGAGGAAAAAGGGAACGAACAACTCGAGATCATGGTTAATCTCGACCAAAAAAAAAAAAAAAAAAAGATCATGGTTAATAGTTCAGTAGATACTAGATAACGAGGGTCATTCTGTACTTTTATAATCACTCGCTTATAACCTGGTGTGTTGGCCGGAAGATTCAATATTTTTACGTTGTTTTGATGGAGATGATACATAAATAAAAAAATATATAAATTAAACATTTGGACAAATATCATCATCATTTAAGAATATAAATTATTGATCCCATTTTCATAATAATAATTAAGTTCTCGGTAAAATATTATTGGTTAGTTGACTGTGAACAAAGATAGAGTACAAAAGCTCATTGAAATTCCCTTGAAACTAAATCTTAAACCTTGCAATCCTACATAAATGTCCAATGCTCTCCTTTTAAGAACAAATGATTATGATTTATGAACAAAGATAGAGTACAAAAGCTCATTAATCAAAAAGAAATGGAGATTTGTTGATTCAAATCAACTATATAGTAACACCTCAGCAAAGAGGGGACCATCAAAACTTGAGAGCAAACGCCAAAATTAGGGTTACCTCCAATATACAAATAGACTCGATCGAAGTAATAAGGAACAAAATTAGACACTCCTTCTCTATCAATTCCAGTAGGTTGAATAAAGAATCGACCGACCTACTTCAGTAAATCAATAAATGATTCCTCGTTTTAAATAGAAATATGTTGCGATAGCTGCAAAAATCATAAACCTAAAGATCCAATAGCCACCACTCTCTATTGTACAATCAAATTTTTATCCACTCTATATTCAATCTCAAGAGGCATATGTTTCAACAAAAATTCAATTTCTAATCCTTCTGCAACTCCATTCTATTCGCCATGGATTGATATCGGAGTTAAAATCTTCTACTTGCCTAGTTTAAATTTTTTTTAGATAATGGTGATATAAGTTATTTTTTGTAATTAGGTACTACTGAAGGAATTCGAACCTGGGACCTCCAGGTTCAAGGCTAGTAGTATTACCATTAGACCAATCCCTTGTTCGTACTTGCCTAGTTTAAATTCCCAACGATAAAATCACAGTTCCAAGAGATACCGGAAAGATTGATTTTCAAAGGCGGTCTTGTACTATAAAGTGAAAGGGGCAAACTATTGCACGATGGATGGAATTTCGTAGGAAGTTATAAAGATATAAGAACAAAGAAAAAAAATACTAAATTCAAATGAAAAAAATGCAAAGACATAACACTTAGTAATAGAATTAGTTTATTCCATGCTAACCAATTACCAATTTACCTTTAGTGAAAATTAAGAGCATTAAAATTGCAGTATCAATCCCCATAAAAATACATATGGTAGACTTAGTGGGCTTGTTAATCATGACGAAAAAGTCCTTCGATTTTCAAAGTTTCACTTCGTGTATGTTTTGTATTAAAAAAGAAACAACAAATTTATTTAGTGTAATTGATTGTGATTGTTGTCTTTGTTTGAAGGGAACTGAGTTCAAATCCCGATATTGACATTTTTGTATAGAATAAATAATTAATTGTAACGACAAAAATGCCCTTCCTACTTTCACTCTCCTTGCATAAAATTTAAAATAGAGAAAGTAGACAAAACTCTACTATATATTATTGGAAGATTTTTACTTTCGTTATCTTTATTTGAATTTGAATTTTTTTAGAAAGAATCTGAATTTTCTCCAGCAATGAAAAGTGGTTGTTGTAATCTACAAATAATATTTATTTTTAATGTATTTTGAGAATTTTTTATGGTTAAATAAAAAATTGCATTAAACGTGGATAAACTCAAGGCAAATCACCTGGATCTATTAGAGTTGTAACTAGTGGTATATGTGTATGAAAGATGATCAATGACGATAAATATATTTATATTATCATGTATGCAACAATTCTACACTTTGGTGTGTTCACACAAGCATAATACACATTTTTATTATACATGATATAATCTTATATACTACCAATCATTACCACATGGTATGGACTAGTAATAAATATCTCAATTTTTTCCAAAATATATCAAAGTATATGTGAATTTGAAGAGCACAATTGATCTTTGCCAAAAAACATGGAATTACAACTTAAAACGAAAGAGATATAGCACGTTAAAATTAATAAAACATGGAATTACAACTTAAAACGAAAGAGATATAGCCCGTTAAAATTAATTGGGAAAAAAGTTCCATAAATAGTAAGTGATGAATTATGCAAGATTACTGACCATAAGGTTATGCAACGGATCATCTTCCCATGAATTATCAATGTCATATTAGATAAGTTGATATTAGGGTATTTTCCCGGTAATTGATAGTTGGGTATTTTATGGTACACAGTTACAGTCGTAGTTCAACCTTTCATACGCTAAAGTAATGTTTTGAAATAATTTTTTTTTATCAAAGTACAACACTGTTAAAAATTTATTACCTTACCAAAATAAGACCGAATTATAAAGAAATTATATCAGATAGCACATAGTAAAATACTAAAGAACAAACATATCTACGACTACGAGATATCCTATTCCCGAAGGCAAGGAAATATTGTACATAATTGTTAATATGTAGACTATGGAAAGAAAAGTACTACCCTTTGGTTAGTTATTTGTATGATTATAATCATAAATTTAACCATTCAAAGAACATTGATGTTCTCTTGCAAAACTATAATTTTGGCCTGAAATTTTTTTTATAAGAAATATGAGACTTTATTTAGTTTGGCAAATTATCATTATGGTCCTTCATTACAATGTGAAGAATGAAAATGGGGTCTCTCTAACCATATCTCAGTCTCCTCCCATATGCATTCTGCATAGCCATTTCATGAGTTGTTGTGTTACCTCATTCGACATCTCCCCCTAAACCTCCAACGAACCTCCCCTATCTCTAACCTCAGCTCACAAATTTCATCCAACACCACTCCTAGCTCCATCTCAATCAACTCCTCCCTGTTAATTTTTTGAATTAGGGATTGACAATCAAATTCCAGTAGAATCGGCTTTGATGCATGCGTTCGAGCCAACCATAGAGCCCACAAAATTGCCAGAGCTTCAGCAAGCTCTAGCTCTCAATCAACCCTTATTAACTTCACCGCCGACAGCACGAAGTGCCTTTCCTCGTCTCTTATCACCATCCCCAAACCTATCCCACCCTCCTTTAACTTTGCCGCATCAACATTGAGTTTCAAGACTCCCCACTCACTACATGCCAAAACCCTCTTCCATGGGTCTCACCTTGATGACAACTGTGACTCCTCCAGGAAACTCTGCAATCTTTCAATTACTTCCCACTCTTCTAGCTTTTTGTAGTTGAACAAGTGATTTTTTGTTCTTTCCACATAAAGTTAGAGCCATCACCACTGAGAATAATTCTTCATCCGAGTTTTTTCGATCATTCCATAGAGCCACTCTTCACTGAATTTCGTTTCCCTCCTTCTGAGAATAGGCTACCTAGAAAACTAGGCCTCCACATCCTCTTTTCCCAATTCCAATTCCTAAGTATATGTTCGTGGATTTCTCGTAATACGTAAAATGGGCATTCATCAGTTACCTCTCTTATCCTTTTAGTTGGGTTACCTCCAGACGATAGGATGTTGCTACCCCAACACTAAAGGAAAACTCTGACTTTTGGTGGTAATTGAAGGTGCACATCCTTTTCCAATCCACATGGATATACCTTTCCCCTGTCTCTTCTCGTCACCTTCTCCTCCAATTTTGGTAACCTGACTTCACGATGTACTTCCCTAGTCTGTCTCGTCCCTAAACTCAAACATCTGGTTGTTGACTTTAAGATAAAGGAATTTGAACAATCTTTGCTCTGTCAATAGGGTGGAAATTTGAATGCAATATATTGCTTTCCCCACTCCTATTGATTGCTCAATGAGATAAAAAAAAAACCCTTGCCTATAACCACAGGGTAGAGAATGGAGATTTAATTTTGTAATTTGGACTGTTTGGCACCCATCTATTCCACCAAACTCGAACTTGATCACTCGTTCATATTCTCCACCTTATTCCTTCTTTCATTAATGACTGAGCAACCATAAGGCTGCACCAAATGTAGTTAGGATTGTTTCCTAGCTCAGCTTCCAAAATGTCACACCTAAGATAGTATTTTGCTTTGAGGACTCTGGCTACCAAAGAGTTACGATTTTTTAATGATATTCCAAACCTGTCTGTCTAGTAAAGCAATATTAAATCCATGTAAATCTCAGAATCCCATTCCACCTTCACTCTTCGGCTTACTTAGCCTCTCCCAACTCATCGAGTGAATCCTCCTTTCTACTTTATTTTTTCCCCACCAGAAGTCTACTATTAGGCTCTATAAGTCCTGAATCACACCTTGAGGTATAAGAAAGACATACATGGCAAAGGTACTTTGAGCTTGAGCTTAGACTTTAATTAGCACCTCATTGGTAGCATTGGATAAGGTTTTGTTTTCCACATCTTCACTTTCTTGCAAACTTTATGTATGAGTTGAGTGAATACAACCTTTTTCGATCTTCCAACGATAGTAGGGAGTCTCAAGTACTTGTCATATAACTGGACTTGTTTCATTCACAGAAGGTCTGCCATCACTCCTCCTTCCTCGTTGATGACTTGATATATACACATGTTTTTGTCCACCATTCTTATACCGTTTGAGTCTTATTTCTTGTGTTTTAGGCCGATTTCACGCTAGGTTGTTCTTGTTTGTGATATTTCAGATCCTAGTACGTGAATGAAGGTTTGGGAATGAGTTCGGGGTCGATTGGACGAAGATCGGACGTTTGGTGAGAAGCTGAGGAAGCCACATGGGCACGCCTAAAATCCCACACGGCCGTGTGACCTGGCCGTGTGGCACCAAATTGCACGGGCAAGCCACACTGGCCGTGTAAGGGAACCCATGTGGCCGTGTGAAGGCTCGGTGATTTTCACACGG